GGGGGGGGGATGCCGGTGCGTCCCGTCCCGGTGCCACCGACCGTGCCCGCAGGCTGCAGGGGGCCCTGCGCCGCGGCGACTGGTACAAGACGAAGGAGATCCTGCTCAAGGGGGTGGACTGGATCCTCGGTGAGATCAAGGCCTCGGGGCTGCGGGGTCGTGGCGGCGCCGGTTTCCCCACCGGTCTCAAGTGGAGCTTCATGAACAAGCCCCCGGACGGCAGGTGAGATCCGTACCAGCACCGCCGCGGCTCCCTCCCGGTGGGGAGCGTGGCCCTGACAACACTCGCCCCCTCCCCACCCCCGCCAGGCCCAAGTACCTGGTGGTGAACGCGGACGAGGGGGAGCCGGGCACCTGTAAGGACCGGGAGATCATGCGCCACGACCCCCACAAGCTGGTGGAGGGCTGCCTGGTGGCGGGACGCGCCATGGGCGCCCGCGCCGCCTACATCTACATCCGCGGCGAGTTCTACAACGAAGCCTCCAACCTACAGGTGAGCAGTGCGGGGATGGGGTTTGGGGACACCCCATCGGTGGGGAGGGGGAAGTCCCCAGACCCATCCATCTCTCCCCCCATCACAGGTGGCCATCCGGGAAGCCTACGAAGCTGGGCTGCTGGGACGGGACGCCTGCGGCTCGGGGTACGCCTTCGACGTCTTCGTGGTGAGGGGCGCCGGAGCCTACATCTGCGGGGAGGAGACGGCGCTGATCGAGTCCATCGAGGGCAAGCAGGGCAAGCCGCGCCTGAAGCCCCCCTTCCCCGCCGACGTGGGTATGTCCCCAGCCCTCCCTGCTTTGCTACCGCTGCAACCGGCTCGCGTGGCTTTTGGTGGCACCAGCCTCGATTTCTAGTTGCCACTCAAGAGCGGGACAAAATGGTGGCAACCAGACAGAACCAAGTGGTCCCCGGGCCGCCATCCTGCTGTAGAGACGAGGCAGCCGTTGAGAGCTCTTGCCCCTTCCAGGTGTTTTCGGCTGCCCCACCACGGTGGCCAATGTGGAGACGGTGGCCGTGGCCCCCACCATCTGCCGGCGTGGGGGCGCCTGGTTCGCCAGCTTCGGGCGGGAGCGCAACTCGGGGACGAAACTCTTCAACATCTCGGGTCACGTCAACAACCCCTGCACCGTGGAGGAGGAGATGTCGGTGCCTCTGAAGGAGCTCATCGAGAAGCATGCCGGTAAGCGCCGCAGGCCACCCTGCCAAACCACACTGGGCCGGCGCCGGGCGCGGCTCAACCTGTCCTGTCCCCCCCTCTCTGGCAGGGGGTGTCCGCGGGGGCTGGGACAACCTGCTGGCTGTCATCCCGGGGGGTTCCTCCACACCGCTGCTCCCCAAGTCAGTGTGCGAGACCGTGCTGATGGACTTCGATTCCCTGGTGCAGGCGCAGAGCGGGCTCGGCACGGCCGCCGTCATCGTCATGGACAAATCGGTAAGGGACGAGCCCCCTCCCCGGCCTCACCCGTGCCGCAGCGGGGCCCTCACCCTCCCCTCCCTCCCCAGACTGACGTCGTTAAAGCTATTGCTCGCCTCATCGAGTTTTACAAGCACGAGAGCTGCGGGCAGTGCACCCCGTGCCGGGAAGGTGAGCAGGGGGGGCCAGGGGGCTATGGGGTGGGGTGGGCGCCACGCCACGGGCCCCTCACAGCCTTCCCATCCCCGCAGGCGTCGACTGGATGAACAAGGTCATGGCGCGGTTCGTGGAGGGCAATGCGCAGGTGGCCGAGATCGACGCACTGTGGGAGATCAGCAAGCAGATCGAGGGCCACACCATCTGCGCCCTGGGCGATGGCGCAGCCTGGCCCGTGCAGGTGCGAGGGGGGTGGGTTGGCGGATTTGGGGCCGGGAGCAGAGTCGGGGTGGGCAGCAGCTTATCCCTGCTCCCTTAACCCATCTCGTTTGCTCTGTGTAGGGCCTCATCCGCCACTTCCGACCCGAGCTGGAGGAGAGGATGCGGCGCTACGGGGAGGCCAAAGCCAGAGCGGCATCGGCGTAAGGAGCCAGTGGTGGAGCAAGGGCTGCTGGCAGCGGTGACCCTGCCCTTTCCTGCCTGGGGTGGTGGGGGGGCACTTCTTGGGGGTGCGGGGCTTCTCACAGCAGTTTGTGGGGCTGTGTTGAGGGGTCCTCGATAAACGCTGCTGCGCTCACAGGCTTCTCTCTTTGCTGGGGGTTTGGGTATAAAATAGTGGGAAGGGACTGTTGGGGGGCTCTGGGTCCTGCCTCCCCCGGAGCAGGGGATCCCCAGGGATCGGGAGATCACGCAGCCAGGATCTGGATACCCCCAGAGGGGAGATCCTGGCTTTCCGTGAGACTCCATGTTCCCTCTCTGGGACTGGGCAAGGAGAAAGTCGATGGTTGTGGGGCAGCACCAAGCAGCCGGGGTATTTACACAGCCACGTGTCCCTCCTTGGGGACCCTGCCCTCCCTGCCACCGCCGTGGTGGCACCAGGGCAACTCCTGCCTGTAGTAGTGCCAGGGGGACAGCTGTCGTTCCCCCCCCCGACCCCCCGTGGTGCTGGCACCAAGGGCCAGCCACGCTCCCTGACTTACAGGCCATGGCGCAAGCGGTTCCAAACATGGCTTTTTACTAAATCACAGTGTGTGATATCAGCCGCGGGGAGCGCGGTATATGGTAGCACCGATGGAGTGTTGGGG